TTTTTTTTTTTTTTTTTTTTTTTTTAATCGATAATTAAGGATTTAGATTATTATTTAGTTTTAAACTTATTGTGTTAAATTTAATATAAAGAACAGCTTTTACTTTGATTTATTGATTTGTTTTGTTTTTTTTTTTTTCGTTATTGTTGTTGCACCCTTATCTATCTATGATGATTAATTAAAGTCAAATGTATTTTGGTAAAGATATAAACTACAAGTTTTTGAATTCAACCTTGAATTCTTTATCGATTAAAAAAAAAAATTTCCCTTTGGTCTAACGATCAATAAAAAACTAGCGGAAAGCTACGAAAAAAAAAATAAAAGTTTTTCTTACCTTATAAAAAACATCTGGAACAAATTTTTTGTCGGTGGATTCGGCGATATATCCTAATTCGGGAGCGTCTTTGGTTGGCACCAAACAACCATCCCTTACTAAAGCCATGCATTGGCCAGATACTTGATAGCCTTCCATGTGCACTTGTTTGCTTGAATCACCTATAAAAATAATTCGTTGAAAATTATTATTATTATTATTATTATTATTTCTATACGTTTTATCACTTGAGATAAAATTTAAAAAAATTATGAACACTAAACGAACCTGTTACACAAACTGTGACGAATTTCGAACCGAAAAAACCCGTAGAAGAAAACCTACAAGGGTTAGGCCGTTGATTTTGTAGGTAACCTGCCGTTATACACTCTTGTGCTGATAAAAAATGACTTTCTATATTTCTAACGTGTTTCACTGTTCCTTTTTGAACATCATCTGCTATTAGATCGGTAAAAATCCAACCAACCCTGACTAGTCCCAAATGTTGTGCTAGTTCTTCAACTATTTGTTCTCTATCATCTGGGAGAATATTTATTGAATCTTTAGAGCTCTCCTAAAAAATTTTTAAATAATTTTCAAAAATTAAAATCATTCATTATCGCTTAATTACAAAAAGTTTATTTTTAATACAAAAATTATTACTTGGGGGGGTTCATAAATGGCGGCAACCGTTGCACGAATTCCAAGAGGCACATCTGAATGAACTTCATATTTTCCATATAGAAAACCAACACGTTGAAGGCCAGAGGAACGCCAATAATTTAAAAATCTCTCAACCAAATGAGCATTTTCAAACATGACATTATCTGTGTGGCGATAAACCTGTCTATTTAGAGTTATAGCATTTGGTTGGCATTTAGTACAAATCCCTTTAGGCCAAGGAGGATGATCTTTACATCCTGTTTTTATGCTACATGAAATATTTTCTAATGCTAGAAATTTTCCTCTGAAATTTTATAAAGAAAAAAAATAAGCAAAAGATTTATGAAAATTATTTTATGCACCACCTAAACTTTATGTGCCTAACTTACCTATCAACACCTGCAGTTAATTTCCTGAGATAAGAATGAAAAGACAAATGTTTTATATTTTGCTCCTTGAGATAATTTTCATCGAAAGGTTCCAGAGGCGAACAATGAACACAACATGCATTTGAGCCATGCCTACATAACTTCTCATCTTTTTTCCTTTGAATTTTACCATCTAATTTTGATAAAATAACATCTACTTCATCTTCAATAACCTGGCTTGAACTTAATTTTCCTTTCGATGTTATACTTCCTAAAACGATAATTTAATATAAAAATAAATGAGGGGAAATAATATGCTATGAAAATTTCTTTATTAGAAATTTCTTTTCCAAACAGTATATACAGTTTGGTTAAATACCTGAAGTTCCAGGCAAAGATATTTTATCTGAAACTGTTTCAGGTTTTGAAGACCAAATTAAAGCTTCATTAACAGGAGTCATATAAATCATATCCCCATGTTTCAGTCCATATGATGCAAGGGTTTTGTTCCTTGAAGAAACCAGTTCTTCCTTTTGTCCCTTTTCCTTGTACAAAATGAACCTGTATCCTGTCAGGTTAAACACATCATGTACCTTGTCATAAAGACTAACCGTGTTGTCTGCTTTATCAATTTCAATTCGTTTAGTCCCCTCAGGAGACTGAATTCGTAAAACCTTTAAAAATAAAAATTTTTATAATAATTTCCAAATTTAACAAAAATTTTATTATTTTAATTTGTTTTAAACCTTAAAAATAATAACTTTAAATGTAAAAAATTTTTTAAGCTTGCAAATAAATATAAATATAATTATAAATAAGTTAATTAATATATATTTCTGGGCAAGTTCCAAACTATTGAAAACATTGTTTAACTATATTTCAAGTCATAAAAATTTTATTTTAAAAGAAAACAAATGCATATACAACTCTGTAAAAATTTTTTGAATTATTTTTGTAAATGTTAATAAATATATATGCATATATTTAAAAACTTATAAACATTTTTATTCTTGGAAATCTCCATGACAAAGCAATTACATAAAAGTGCATTAGAATTTTTTGAAAATGTTTCTCGGCATAAAAATAAATTTCCAAAGCGTAGGATAAAATAATTATAATAAGCATATTAAATAAAAATGGAAATTATTTAACTTACGAAAATATTAGATTTTGACATTTCATGAAGTATGAAAATTTATTCTTACTCTTGTCTGATTTTTATAGAAACAATGCTGCCATAATTAAAGTTACCTAAAAAAAAAAAAAAAAAAAGTTACACTGTTCATAGAGTAAAAACGCTGCACTTTTATTCTTTTACATTTTTTTTTTTTTTTTTTTACATTTAATAATATTAATAATAAAAATAATAAAGTATTTTTTTATTCAAAACAAATTAAATAAAATTACTCAAATTGAAAAATAATGATAAAATAAATTTAAAAGGACGTCAAAAAAAATTAATTTAATTTACGTCATTCAAAAATATTTTACATAAACATAATAAAAATTTTTACTTTTTTAAAAATGGCGCCAAAACCTTTCTTCAACTTAACGACGGTATCAAAAACAAATTATTCTATAATTAAATCGTTCTTAGTATCGACTTTTAAAAAAACTACTGGCACCGTACTAAAAAAAATACATTAAATTAAAAAAAAAAAAGAAAGAAAATGGTAATTTTTTCATAGTTTTAAATACATTTTTCTTGTTTTTACGTAAATTAAAATTTTTTGTTTTTGTTTTAGGGTGATTTAGGGTTGAATCAACACCACCAATCCGTATTAATTTCTTACATGAAATTTGCTAAATACATGAGAAATCAAATATTAAAACAAGTAAATGCTTCTTTTCAAGATACTGAATCGAGATTATACGATGACACTTTTACTAAAGAAGAAATAAAAGAAATCATTGGGGATTTGGAAAAAATAATTCAATGTGACGTTGAATCCGAATTGATTAATTTCTCTCATAACAACGTTTTATTACTAAAACAAATATTCAAACAGGCAGAAAAATGGTATTTAAGGTAATTTCTTAAAAAACTAAACCATTATACCATTAGAAAAAAAATTTTATCTTATTTTTTTTTGACATCAGATTAGACATAAATCTATCAGAATCACAAAATCAAGAAGAATTGGAAATGATAAAATTATTAGAATTCGACGAGGGACAGTTTGCGTCTGGACCACAGAGTCAAAAAACGGAAAAAGAAATTGAAGAAGGTTCGATTGCTCTTTTAAAAATGGAAATAGAAAGATTAAATGAAGAAAATATGAGATTATCAAATATTATACAAGATTCCGAGGACATGACTGATTTATATAAAGATGAAAAAAATAAACTCGGAGAAAAATTATTATCAGCTCAAAAAGAAATAACAAATTATAAGGGTTTATTGGAAAATTTGCAACATTCAAAAAACGAAGAGGAAACAATTAAAGAAATGGAAGAAAAATTAATTCATGTAGAAAATTTGCTGAGTATAAATATAGAAAACTTAGAAGAAAATGAAAATATTAAAGATAAATTAAAAATTGAATTAATGAGCACCAAAGAAAAAGTTAAGCAAGTGGAAGCACAGTTACAATTAGCTGAAGAGGCAAGTTATCATTATTATTAAAATAAGGAGATTTAATGAAAATTTGTCCTTTTTTTTTTAAATAAAATGTTTGTTTCTAAAAATTTTAGGAATTGGAAAAAAAATTTAGCGAAACAAAAGCCTATGCAAACATGAAACAAATATTAATGAAAAAAAATGAACAAATAAAAGAATTACGACGAGAACTTTTAACTTATCAATCGGATATTAAAGAAGAAGAAAATGATGATGATGATAAAGTCAAAGATGATAATTAAAATTAATTAACTTATAAAAACGATTATGAATTGACGTCGAGAATCAATCGAAAAACGTGATTTCCTACTTCATTAATTTTTTTTTTTTTTTCCTTTTTTCCTTTTTTCCTTTTTAAAATTTTCAATAAAACGTTTTTAACCAATCAACGACGTTTTCGAAAATTACAATAAGAAAACAAACAAACATTCGCGTAAATATTAACCTCTCGCGGTTGAAAAATGTACTAAAAAGAGGGAAAAATTTAGCCAAGACGAAAAGACGCCGACTCGTAGGGAAATCACCTGTGGATGGGGAAACGACGACCCATTCGAACGTTGTGCGTTGAAAGCATTTTTTTTTTTTTTTCACCCCTGGCGTGTTTTTATTTTATTTTATTTTATTTATTTAACTCTCACATACGATTTCACGCTTACGTCGTGACCATGTTTTTATTTTAGTAAAAGGAAAAAACGATATTATTAAATATTTAACGGTTTTTTGTAAAACAATCGTTTTGAAACGAAACACGTTGAGTAAAGGAAAAAAAGGGAAAAATTTTTGAAGGAAAAAAAATGCCGAATGTCATCATAACGTGCGTATTTGTATTAATCGTGCAATTTTATCTTTTAACGGTCGTTAAAGCTCATCCTGGTAAGCATTTTTTTTTTTTTTTTCATTTATTTGTGTCTATTTTTTTAAATTTTATTTTTTATGTAAACCTACGGAAATAATTATTATTTATTTATTTATTTATTGTTATTATTAATATTACAAATTTAAATGATAAATTAGAAAACATTTGTTTTTGTCTCATCTTTTATTCTCATTAAAAAAAAAATCAAAATGGAGAATGTTTTAGTAGGAAGCACATGTTTAAGTGACAAATAACTAAAAAAACAAATTTTTACTTAATTAAATCACATATTTTTACACAAAATTTATTGTTGCACTAAAATAATTATATAATAAGTATTTGTTAGTTAAACATTGTTAAAATTTATTATTATTATTATTATTATCGTTATTGTTGCAATATGACAAATAGAAAATTATTATTCAATCATGTATAATTAAGTCTAGTAGTTCATCTGCATTGCGGATAAAAAAAATTTTTTTTTTTCTTTTTTATCAATGAACTCTCGTCGATAAAGTAAAATCAAACAAATAATAATAATAATAATAATAATAAAAGAGCAAAAAAAGAAAAAAATGGAAGAAAACTTTTTAATTTTTCTATCATTTTTTGTTACTTTTTACTTTCTCTCTCTCTCTCTCTGTCTCCCACATCCCACACACACCCCCCCATTTCTGCCACCGCACTTTTCTTTTGTGTCGAAAAACTATTTGTATAAAAGTTAAAAAGATTAAAAAAAGTAAAGTATCTCCAAAAGAGAGAGAGAGAGAGAGAATATAAAGTTGACTTTACAAAAAAAAAAAAGAAACTTTATTAAAACAAAAAGAAAATTGATGATGAAAGAAGTTTTTTTTTCGTAAAAAGTTTAAAAAAACAATCGGTACTTTTTTTTTTTGTTTGTTTTAATCAAGTGCCACGAAAAAAAAAAATGGCGATTAAACGTTAAAAAAGAAAAAATTTTCAGAAAAGGATTTAGAATTTGAAAAACTTTTTTTTTATTGTTTTTTGTTTGTTTTAAATTTTTTTTTGGAATCAAAAGTAAATCGCGAATAATAAAACTAAACAAATTATTATTATTATTGTTTTTTAAACGAAAGGAAAACTCACGATGTTTTATATATATATTTTTTTTTGGAGTAGAAAATTTTTAGTGACACGTTTATTGGGGGGGAAAAAAAAATAGGAAAATTAATGTCGTCATCGTCGTCATCGTTAAATTTAGAAAAAGAATCTTTTGAATAATTTTTTAACGTTTGAAAAAAAAAAATAGGAAATTTTTTTTTTTTTTGTTCCTTCTAACCCAAAATGAAATATTTTGGGGTTTTTTATACGTGTAAGAAATAAACTGATAATATTTCATTTCACTTTAAAAACGGAAATTAGAACTTTGTGTAAATATTATCGCTTTGACAAAGATTTTTCCCACTTAATTTTTTTTTTTTTTTTTTTAAAGGTAAAAATGTTTTTACCATGTTTTTTCAAACGCCGATAATTTCCTTTTAAAATTTTCTTTATTATAACAACAACAACAACACAGGTGCGATTTTAACAATTTATTATTATTATTATTATTATTATTTATTAATTTACCTTATTTTTCTTTTTTTTCGTTTTTTCTTAAGAGATTTAGTTTAAAAAAAAAAAAAAATTAAATTAATTATTACAAAAATTTTAAATTTAATGTTTGTTTTGGTCGTTTTAAAAAAAATAAATAAATAATCAAATCGAATTAAGGAATGCGTTAATTATTATTATTATTATTATTATTATTATTATTATTATTATTATTATTATTATTATTATTATTATTATTATTATTATTATTATTATTATTATTATGTCTTCTTAAAATTTGACCAAAAGTAGAAAAAGGTTAATGAAAGTTAAAAGGGTCAAACAACCGCATTTTTCTGTTGCTTGTTTGCTTTTTTTTTCTCTCTCTCTCTCAAAAATCTTGTGGTTTTTCTTAAACCCTCTCTCTCTCTCTTCCTTTACCTCTCTTTCCACCTCTTTCCCCCTTCTCCCTTCTCTACTTGTTTCCTCTCTATTTAATCGTTTTCGTTTAGTTTTTTCTTACGTTTATTTTTTATTTATTTATTTATTTATTTGCACGAGAGACAAAATGGTAAACGAAACGATTCGTTTAACGATTATTATTATTATTATTGTTATTATTAAAACGACAGGGTAAAATTTTAAGGTACTACTCATTTATTATTATTTTTTGGTCTCAGGTGTCCATATCGTTTCTTTCTTCCCATTTAGTTTTGCATATCATTCGGTTGATTCATTATCAAATGGATTTTCTTAATCTCGATAAAATTTTCAACGAATTTAAAAAAAAAAAAAAATGGGAGGGGGGGGAAAAGGGGGAATAAAAGGGAAAAAGTAAATAATAAATTTTAAATTTTAGTTTCAAACAATAAAAAAAAATAAATATTATTATTATTATTATTATTATTATTATTATTATTATTATTATTATCAATATTATCATTATTGGTTTTTTCGAAAAAAAAAAAAAAAAAATGGTTGAAAGTGACGTGAATTCGTAATAATCAATGAAAAAAAAACCGTTTTAGAAATTTTATTAGAATGCGAAAAAATTTTTATTTTTTTTTTCGAATTGATCAAAATTACATTTCAATGAAATATCACGTGCGTGAATGCGTGCGTGTGTGCGTGTACGTACACGCATAAAAATTTCTCACGTTTACGGTTCAAATTAATAAATTTAACGTGATAATTTTCGAAAAGAAAAAAAATTTTTTTTTTCTTTTTTGACGTTTAAATTAATTTTCATTAATTGTTTTTTTTTTTTTTTTCTTTATTAAAACGCCATGATGATGTAAATCAAAAAAAAAAAAAAAAAAAACGTTTACTACTACTACTACTACTACTAATAATAATAATAATAATAATAATAATAATAAAAATTATTACTGGTCGAACGTAATTTGAATTTTAATGTTTCTCTTATTAATATTTAATTTTTTCTCTTTCATAAACAAAAATCATTTTTTTTTTTTTGTATTTTTCTTTCTTATATACTGATTAAACATGACTGAAATTTTTTATTTCATTT